TACTAACCTTTAAAGGAAATTTCCTTTTTTTTCAATGCAGAAAACTGGTCAGTTGCTTGAAGCAGGTCTTGGAGCAAACAGGAGAGGCAACAAATATTGAAAGTCTAAAGAAAACAATGACGGTAAACCGTTTTTTTTCCTTSTGTATACACAGGTAGCCCAAGCACAGCCTTTGGCTTTGAATATTTAACRTTAAAAGTTGATCTCTTAGCCAAAACGGTATACTCGGGCTACCTGTGGTGTCAGTACACGCCCACAAGAAAAAAAGGAATGATGTGGAATAATCTTTCGTTTTGTTAAATTCTTTTAGGCTTTAGAATATATTTTCAAGTTTATTATCCAGTCAAGAGTTTTATACATAAGGTAAGCTTGGAGAGTTCCTTCCATTCCATTTTAACTCTGGTTAAACTCGGCCACAAGTCAAARACGTTGATTGSATGACCTAGCAGTGAACTTGATTGGCGCTTTCAACAGTGGTCAACAATCCGTACCGTGATCGGGTTGGTCGCTTTTTTGTTCACTTTGATTGGATAAGCATGCAGTGTTCTTGCGCGGCGCAACAATCCGTACTGTGACCGTGCCAGTCRCATATCCTATCACTTTGATTGGATGACCTTGCATTGATCTTGCACGCACTCGACAGATGTAGACAATCCATATTAATTTCCCGCACATTCTAGTCACTCGAAACCTAACTCTGCTCTTATTTCTCACTACTATATCTTAAGTACATTTGGCAACAAGGAAGAAGACTCCTTTCGACTTGAATTGCGTTCATTGTTTTTGGCTTTGAACAACTTGATGTCACAACAAACAGGAGAACTACAGCAGGCTCAGGTCAGTCATATTTCTTATTCTCTCAACTGCTATTTAATAGACATCAGTTTTTTATGTGTCTGTCTTCTTATTGAGGATAAATTGCGTCATCACATTGTCAAAGTAGTGTGGATTCACGAGTAATAAAAACGATAAAAACTTAATGATTGCATCTTGCTCAATGTAAAGGAATCTAGAAAAAGGAGGAACGAAAATGAGAAGAATAAAGTAAATGAACAGACTTTGTATTGCAGATTTGCTTGAAGGCATGCTGTATAAATTAGGATCAAGGTTTATCTTATCATGGTTCACCCTTGGAAATCTAGTCAAAGCAAAAATAACGATTGTGGAGTCAGTCAAGTTCTTGGCTCCAGAACCATGAAAGCATTAAAACAATAGCAAACGATAATGAATTTGGAGCTAAACAATACCCCGCAAAACAAAAACCCTAACMCAGAATACAATAATGTTTGKAYGGTAGACAATTTCYGAGTCTTTGTGAATACCGGTGTTCTAAATTTTGCCTGAATCCCTAAATGAGAGATTCTGGATTTATTGTACAAGGAGTGATGCATCTCCTGTATTTAAACTATCCTATYCTGCGTGCTTGATTTTTTCTTCTTTTAACTCGTTTTAGGCACTTGCATTGAGACATTTTGCTGGGATTTACGACGATGCTCTTAAAGTATTTAGTCGTACTGAGCTCAGGTATATATGTGGGATGAATGTTATGTGTTGTCGGTAAATAGTGAATGTTTTGGTAGTGTGTGTAGCGCGGAAGAAGAGCCCCTTACAGGGAGTGATGGTTGTGAATATAAAATAAACATACAAGGTATATTTATGTTTGGATGAGCAAATGTCAAACAATGATTGGATAACGAATAATTCGTTCAAGTATTTACTTACTTCTCTACCCCTTCATCCTCTCTTCCAATCCCTCAATCTCTCATCCATTTCAACCTTCCATCCACCCATTCCCATTCATCCATCCATTTCAACTTATCCGTTTTCTTTCCATCCATTTATCCATCTCATCCATTTCACTCTCCCATTGATCCAACTATTTTCTTCTGTCCATCTTCTTCTTTATCCATTCATCCTATGCATTCATCAACCAAGATGTGTAATGAAGTATGCTCGTTTTAGCTTCTTCTATCACCAGTSATGTATTATCATGAATCCTAAATGATCTAACATTCGTTAAAAACATGACTTACCTTAATTTGGTGTTTTCAGTCATATCGTCACAAACTTCGTGAACAGCGTAGGAAAAAATTCCCACTYCAAGACCCTTATCTGCCCGAAACTACAGTGTATCAGTCAGACTGTACAGAGTCAACTCTTCGTCCATGAAGGTATGTTAAGGTATAACTTTTCATCGTTTGCCAAGGACATTTATCAAACAAACGGTTATTTACTTCATGGGTCGTAGGACTTTAAAAACTCCCCAGAATGATACAACTTGTTCAGCTTATTATTTATCAAGCTGCTCGTATGGCTCTCTTTGCACATCTTGCGAGTGACAGCAGCGATCTATAAAACCGACTAACACTTTTGTGCGAAACTGATTTAACAGTGCGTCATTCAGTAAACCTGCTATAATCACTAGCCTATCTCCAATACATCATTACGTTGTTTTCTCAAGATATCTTTTGATTTTGTAAATTTTAGACTTTTTTGAGMATCTGATTTTTTTATATATAGATTCCAGAAAAGTACTTCTGCCAATGATCGTCAGCCATCTTCACTTCCACCTGTCTCAAAAACAAGAGATGAAAACATGTGCCGAGATCTTAGGACCTGTCCTTACAGCCCTAGAGACCATGGCAGYTGTAAGTATATACATGGAGCCCTGCGTCTTGATTTTGAATGCGTGTAAGTTGGCGGGTCAGACAAATATACGAACAAACAAAAACAAGAATGCATACAAACCGCACTCATAAAAAGAGAGATGGACAGATGGACAGATGGACGGACGGACGGACAGACATCTAGAAACTATGAATTCAATACAGTGATGCAAATTTATACATTAATTGATAGGGTGACAAAGAAGAAGATATATTCCTTGTTGTCAAAACTTTACTTCAGACTGTGTTCCTGACGGTCAAAACGGTAGATAGGGCTGGTACTCTGTCGGTAAGTTTACTTTGTACACCTTGCTTCATTCCTCACCTGACTGCCGAGATTTCGAATTTATTCCCTAATTTCTAGTTATTTTCTATTTTTGTATGAACGAAGTAGACTTGATAGAGCAGTTTTCGATTGAATAGGAACGACAATATGAACAGTATCTGTTTTTCTCGCGCATGTTAAGAAAAAAGCTAGAACTGTTCTCAGTGAATATGTTGCTTATGCTTGTGTTATCAAAGTGAGGTCTACCAGAATTTCGATCTTCAAAATATGGTTGTTCGCGAAAATAGTCATTAGTCGTTTCTTCCACGTATATTTACTGAAAATTTGTTAGCCAAGCTTTTGCACAACTAGTACATCATCAGGGCAAAGGCTAGTRAGACAGTTTTTTACGTAGACACGCGTAGTTTTTAGTTAACGTAAAAAATCGTCTCACTAGCCGTTGCCCTGATGATGCACTAGTTAAAGGTTGCCTAATAACATTTCAAAATATATGTGGAAGAAATACGATTTTTTTAATAATTTTAAATCCTGTTTGTTCTTAAGCGTCATCTTCTGGCCATACTTATTAACATGCTGAGACTGATGACAGAAGATCATTATAGTCGTTTCCTTGAACAATTCGATGGCAGGAAGGAGCTGAAGGACTTCTTGTTTAATGCCTTCGTGGTGTTCACTGAAATGATTAGACGACAGAGCTTCCCAAGGGATTGGTTTGTCATAATCATGTTGGCTAACCAGTAAGTTTAATGTTATGTTTGTACTAATGTAATCAG